ACTTTGCATGATAGATAGGCAACATGCAAAATGAAGAAAGACATGAGAACAACATTGCTTTACAAACCTTTAGACTTAATAAAAAATATATATATTTTACGTATGAAAGCATTGTAATGTTTACTGATAATCTGCCAAATTTCATTAACATTTGCTTACTAATTTAAAAGTTATAGTATGAAAACTATAACAAGTACAAAATGGTCAAGAGGACTGTCCCAGGGACCGAGCCCATGCTGAAAGAGTTAATTCATGCTTTATAACGTTTTTATGGCTTAATTTGATGCATTTGAGCATAAAGAAGCCTGTGTACTTGCATATATATTAACTTTACTGTTTTCATTGTAGCCTGTTATTTTTGCCTTTCTTAAAAAATGCACCTTTACATACTTTAGACTTAACCTGAAATGAATACTTTACATCATCTGCAAACACGCATAAAGATATTTTACATCATGTTTTATTAGTGTACACATTTTGCAAACACTTTGTAGTAATAAAATTTGTATAGTATTTAATCTGACTTGAATTATTCTTTTACATCAGCTTTTTCTCCCATTCCAGAAAATGTATTTTTTATGTATAAATGTATCAATTTCAGCATTTTTTGGTACTGTGTCTTAAGTTACATATGTGTGTGTTCATCCAGTATATCCTTTATATGTAAAACACAACTTCTATATTTAAACTTACAATTGTATTTTGTAAGTACAATCTTAGTTTTTCCTCTTAAGTAGATCTTGTCTAACAACAGGATTGTTGTTTAATAATAAGTTACGTATGTTGTACTATTGCTGGCTATTCATTGAGAATGGCCTCAATAATTAAATCAAATGAAAATCATGTAAGTGTTCAAAGAAATGTGTATGTATTTTCAATTAATGTAAAACTTGGTGATTAAGTCATATAAATGGTTTTACACTATATTTATAATGCTTTATAAAACAAAGGTTTCTAATTTAAGTATCAATCTTTGACACTTTCCATGACACAATCTAAAAGTAATTTGTATGAGCTGTGAATTTTTAACACATTAGAAATTTATTTTTTGTACTGATTTAATACATCATCAATAGTTTAAAATTAATCCTCAACTTTAAACAGTTTTTAAATATACACTTTCAGTCTGAGGCACTCGTAAAAGTACCCAAACTACTTTATATGTAGCAGGATTATGTTACGAGTTTAGGTTGGATAGTGAGTTAACACTACTAATGTAACTGTAATATTGATATAATATTAATATAAACTTCATTCACTGCGGCAAGTATAAAAGTATGGAACAAAAAGCCCATTCTTTTTCTTTTTTTTATATGAAACATTAAATAATCTTGCTTTAACACTGTTTTTTTTCTTTGGTACTATGAAGCTTCTTTGTGTCTAAGGATCAACCATTCAATGTTAAATGTAGACTTAATGGTATAGTTGTATACCTAATTAGCCTACACTTGAACTGTAGTTAAAGCATTTGCTAAACATTTCATACTTTGCAATACAAGAAAAGTTATTAGCTATATTTCGATTAGATTTATTTGTTCATCCAACTTTTTAACTAAGTATTCAAATGTGCCTAAATTTAAAGAACTTCTTAATTTCACAAGTGGTAGAAAATCTTTGGAGATCTGAACCTACTGTACAAGTTGGGTATAGTGACAACATGCTTGTATAATTAATTATTTAAATTTTGTTTGCATGAATGTTATTGTTTAATAAAGCAAATACACTTTAATTGATTTGTACACAATTGACAACTGTGTTGTAACTAGCTAATAATGTACTTGTCAGTAGTTCAGAATCTGCTCATATTAACAGAAAAATTATGAAATGTGTATAAAAATTTTTATTACATAATCTTATTGATCTAAGCATGGCCTACTAATTAGTATACCAAGACTGTTAATTTGAGGATCCCATAGCTGCAAAAATGTTCCTTGTACTCTAACCCTTATGCTATGGGTAGGTCCAAGTGCACATGTCACAACCTTTTAGAAAGTTATGCTCAAAATTTAATTAAACTACTTTATTATCATTGTATACAAATATACTTAGAATCAAAGCATAATGACTCAAATTTTAATATTCCTATATGATATCTGATCTCTTATCCTCACAGAATAGCTTTTCTCAACTTGTACTGCCTTCTATATGTACAAATGTTTGCCTGCTACTACCCTTAATACTCCTACCTATCCTCATGTGTTTCCAGGTGAGGCAGCTGTGTGATAGCATGCAAGTGAGCATGAGAAAACCATCCATCAATATGAGTGTGACACAACTCCTAGCACAGCTGACTCCCTCTATGCAGCTTAACACAACTCCACTTTTCAATTAGCACTCATTGTGTTATGATGTGTTTTTTGCTTGTGCTTTAATTCACAGAATTTTCAGTCAATGTCCCTGGGTGGGACAGCGATATGTCTACGGATTTACAACACTACAATCCGGGGTTCGATTCCATATGATGGACATAGCAGATAGTCCCATGTGGCTTTGCTCTAAAACAAACCAAGATGTCTATACATGATTTACAGTTCTTGCACTTGAACAAGATGAATTACTTTATTTTTAACTCTTTGTGGATTTTTCTACTTTCACTCATACTTATCATAAATTCTGAACTTAGCATTACAACTACTACCACTGCTGTTCCTACTGCAGTAAACCTTACTTTGTCTACAAATGGCTTCAGGTCTGCAGTTATTGGCTGAAGAAATTATGACCTTGTTTACTCAGGAATTGGCTACCTTCATGCAGGCTTCTGATTCACCTGAAGATTATCTTATCATGCCTTGTTCAGGGTTACCTGAAGAAAGGGAAGATGATTTTGACAGCCTGTTTCCTCCCATATCCTATGCCACACAGTCACATTTAACTCCAGTGGATCCACTCAGGCCTCTTCCTCCTTTCCTGGAGTTGATTATGTTTATTTTGTTTTGTCTCCCATTTTCTTGGATTACTCTCCTTTCCTTTTAACCCTATGAATACTGGGTGATGTGATCCTTAACCCTTAATGTCGCTGTCATTATATTTCATTCCAAAAATAAAACTAGTTTATGAAATTGTATGAAATTTGACAAGAACCTTCCTAAGAATATGAAGTTCAGAAAAATAAAATATTTTTTCTTCTATTTCTAATAAAAAATCCAATTTTTAATTTAGTTATTTGCACTCAGGACTCTGAATAGTTCACCTGCAAGGTGATTTTCATATTAAGTATAAGAATACTATTTATTATCTTACAGTTTTGTAATTTCATTTGCATAATTTTTAGAACCTCCTAAATAAATATTGAAAGTTTTTTAAGGTAACTGTTTATATTTTAATTTCCATTTTCTCTACTATATCACTAACTGTAGCTATTATCATCAACATACAGTGCACTGAAATGTTTAAAATTAAGAAATGGAAATGTGTATTTACCTTCATAAAATATTCTTCAAATATCTTCTTTAGGTTATATGTGTAATTTCATGTCTTTACCGTTTCATGTATAGTTTATTTTTAATGTTTTCTTTTCCTTTCCAGTCTTTTGTCTTTTATTATTTATGCTGAAACATCACCTGGTGCCAACAGGCCATTATTACGTATTGTTTGCAAGAGATACGTTAGCTGCGGGCAAAATGTTTTGCACATGTCCTGTGTTTAAAAAGTCTTGATGAGATAGTAGATGAATAAGTAAACTTATAAAAATCATTAAACCTTTCAACTATGAATTTTAAAACACAAATAATACATAATTAACTAAAATATAAAAGTAAAATCTAAATGCAATTTAACTATCAAACTAATACATATAAGGAGAGAAACAATAGCCATGCACTAGTCACTTGCATCCACAACTGACATAAATGGAAACTTGCTTGTT